CATCCTTCCTTTCGAGAAGAATACAAGTATGTTCTACCATGTTTGGCCAGAAGAACAGATTTTGATAACCAGTTTTCATAGCTTTTATATGGGCACATTGGTCTAACTTTACCAAATGGTTCATTTGCTACACTGGGATAAAACATGCAGCTCATTTCTTAATAGTTAGAAGTCCCATTAGGTTAGCAATTAGAGAAATGCAGAAGATGTTAACTTAGTGAGAAGCAAAAAATAGATTCACAGAAGTTTTAATGGCCAAAATCAGTAGTTGGACCATGTTGTGTGATTGTAAGAAAGACTGAGAACAGTGTGTATGGAGATTATGGTAGTTGATTATATTTGAGCTCTGAAAGCAGAAATTAGTAAAATGATCCAGACCTAACAAAGAGTCTGTTCCAGTAGGTAAGCCTGGAATGTTTTAACTAGGTTTGGGCCTCTCTGTTTCAAAGAGAACATATATATGTGTAAGTGTGTATATGTTCATATATATGTGTGCATATATAGGTATATAGTTAAGTCATGAGATTAAAAATGGGAGAATTTTAGAAAACACGGGGGCTGGGGATTTAGCTCAGCGGCAAAGCGCCTGCCTGGCAAGCGCAAGGTCGTGAGTTCGGTTCCTGGTACCAGAGAAAAACCAAAAAAAACCATAAAATAAAATAAAATAAACTACTACATAAAATCACATTAATACTGGTAAAGACTTCAATTTTAAAAGTCCTAATATATACGAACCTTCTAGTACTCTACTTGGCTTAAGGAACTTAAAACAGTCTCAAATGTTATTTGAGACTGAAGAAAGGCCACTCATACATATGACTAACTGCAATTGAGAGCCTAAAGAAACAAAAAATCCACAACTTTCATTTACATGAAATCTTTAAGTGGCACTGTGAATGGCAAAGTCAATGTCTATAGGTTTCTTCTAAATTGCTCTATGGAATGGAAAAACTGGACTAAAATGTTAGTTCAATCTAAAATGATTTTCTTTTACAGATTATTTACTGATAGATCTTGGGGGAAAAAACTATTAAATCATATAGTACAGATTCAAAATATAAAAATGATTCATAGAATACTATGAGAATATCCAGACCCAAATATATTTAAATTATTAAAAAGAGGCTGGGGGTTTTAGCTCAGTGGCACAATGCCTGCCTGGCAAGCACAAGGTTGTGAGTTCGATTCCTGGCACCAGAAAAAACAAAAAAACAAAAAAATAAAAAGAAGTTAAAGTGGATGAAACACTATTTTTTTCTTTTCTGGTGCTTTAAACAATTTATTTAACTGAAATGGACTTCCATTTATTTAATTGAAGTGATTTCCATTTATTTTGATACATCTTTTCCCTATGGTGATTTGTAGGATCTTCAAGCCAACATAATAAATATTTGGCCACTTGGGTTTATACCTACACAACACCTCAGCAATATCTTTCAGCAAGAAAAACACTGAAGAGTAAAGACCAGACACAATTAACTAGACAGAATGAAAATCTGCTCCAAATATTTGTTTCTGAGGTAAAGGCACCACACACCTAAAAACAGTATTTTTAAAGACACAAAAGCATAGCCAAAACCTCCGAAAAGGAAGACAAAAGTAAAAAAATCTTTGTTCACACCTTATTAAGGTTTATATATTTTTCATACTAGATTATGATGAAAACTGCAAAGCTAGTTCTGTGTCAGTAAAATACCAGATGAACTAAGATTATAGGTAAGCTCAAAGACACTAAAACAATCAAACAAACATTAGCACAGATTCAAACTATTACTTAAATTTTATTTTCAGTACTGTACTAGACTCCATAATCAAAGAATAATAAGAGAATCTTTAAGGAACCAAAAGTGTGAGCAATACAAATACTGTAAATGTATTTAAATATAAGTTAGATATAAGATTGAGGCCTACTAGAAATTGGAAACCAAGACTTTATAAACCTGTAAAAAATGTTGAGGGGACTACTCTGATATTCCTAAGTGTGAGTTCTTCACCTCTAATAATAGACAGAATAAATGGGAATAGGACATTAGCAGTAGGATCATTTATCAAAGTTGGTTTTAAAAAAGGAAAAAAAAGCTACCTAACACTAATACTAGCAATAACGAGGTCCATTAGCCACTAGGATTCTCACCCAAATGGCTGAAAATTTTTCTTTCCAATAGTTTCTAAACACAAGTCAGGCAGATGATAAAGTTATCTACTATTTCAAAAGTCTATCTTATAAACCCTCAAGAAATTTACTCTTCCAAGACTGAACCTTAAGGCAGCTCCAAGTAGCATATTCTCCAAGTAGCATACAAAGAAAACTCACCCATCAGTGTTATAAGTTTATTTTTCAGCTGTGTGTCTAATCGTGCAATCATCATTTCCACTGCATTCCTAATTTCCCGAACACGCTCATCTTTTGCATTTCTTACAGCTTCTACATTTCTTTCCTAGAAAATAAACAGGTAAAAAGAATTTTAAAACTTCTGTTTAAAAACAGAAGTAAACAGATATTAATTCAATCACTGTAAGTATTCTTAAAATCAGTTATCTCTATAAATATATAAACAAATATTTTTATAAAATGTGAGCATGGGTAACTAATTCCGAGTACTAAACTAAATTAGTTTAAAGGTTTTAAAAATAAGCAGTTAAAGTATACTCAAGCATATTTAACAGAAACATCAACAAAAAGGTGTTATTAGAAAACACTGGTTTACATAAATACATAGGCCATATGTGAAGCCATAATCATATCCCTGATAGGAAACTGCTTTTTAAAAACTAAACCAGAAGCTAGGCATGATGGAGCTCTTGTAATCTCTGCACTTGGGAGATTGAAACAGGACAATCACAGCAAGTTCGAGGGCAGCCTGGGCTATGTAGTTCAAGGCCACCCTGGGCTACAAAGCAAGGTCTTGTCTCAAAAAACCAAAAACAAAACAAAAACTAAACCAGGAAAGTCACTTCACAGACTGAAAAACCCAACAACAAATGAAAAAAATGTTTAAAAACCAGTATCTACTGTAGTCCATAAAGTTTTTGCTTTGAGAACTATATACAAAAAGAGTACATTTTTCTAAGACTGCACTGTTATCTATAGATTTCCAACTGACACTGCAGAAAACAAAAAACAATCCTTTGTATACTTAACAACTTATTATTATATAAATACTAGCAATAAAAACCTCCCTTTAGAATAGCCTCCTAATGTGGTTAAGAAAAAATAACAGGTAAAAGGTAGAAGAAGACCAAACAGAAACCACTCAAATTGCTTATTTTTCAAAATGACTTTGTAGCACACATTCAATTCTACAACACTACTTTCCATATAAAGAGTGTTACAAATAAATACTTGGACTTTGATTCTTGAAAGGTGAAACAAAGAGAACACCCGTTCTTAAGCCAAAAATGGTATTTGTAACTGTCATTTTGGCAACTTTAAACAAAATACATTCCAAAAACATATATAATACTTAAGCACTTGAAGTTTATCACATTTTCTCACAGAAATAACATTTTTAGCCAGGCATAGTGGTATACACCTGGGGAGGGTGAGGCAGGAGCACTGCCATGAGTCTGAAGCCAGCCTGGACTCCGTAGTGAGTTCAAGGCCAGCCTGCAAGACCTTATCTCAAAAAAACCGAACAAACAAACAAGCAAAAAAATAACATTTTATTTTGTTTTGTTTTGTTTTGTTTTTCTCCGGTACCGGGAACTGAACTCACGACCTTACACTTGCCAGGCAGGCGCTTTGCCGCTGAGCTAAATCCCCAGCCCCTAAAAAAATAACATTTTAAAATATACAACATTCACAAAAACTATTTGATCCATACAATTTTTTTTGAGCCATACAGTATTTTAAGAAAATTATTATGGCTGTGTCTAGATGCACCTCCAAAGGCTCATGTGGTCTTAGGTGGGGCTTTGCAGAGGTGGCTAGATCTAGGGGGGTATCATGCTGGGATCAAGGATTTGGTGCTGGGATTGTGTAATACTAGGATTAAGGGTGCCCTACCCTAGGTGAGAGTGCTACATGCCCTAAGTGTAGGTAGCCTGAATAGGATATAAGGGACAGAAAGAGGGCTGCTGTTGTCAACATTCCCCGCTAACTGCTTTTGCTGCCTCCTGCTTGCCATGGACTATTTCGTCTCTGTGATGCCCCTCTGCCATGCCACCCTGCACTGGAACCAGCCAATCACAGACTGAAACCTCTATAAACTGTTGAGCCAAAATACACCTTTTCTCCTTTAACTTTGGGCGTCAGGTATTTTCTCTCAGCAACGAGAAAAGTAACTGAGACAGTCAGTAGTAATAAACATCACTTTTTTGACTCTTTTAAGAATCTATTCAGAACATCACAAATAGTTCTCTTTTGCAGAAGAAACCTTCCCAAAACTGGAAATCCAAAGAATAAGTAAATGTAACAACTCTACTGAAGCCAATGTTGAAAAGCCAAGTATTCATTCTGTAATAAGCAGACTATTTTAAATCATCAGGTGATTCTCTAATTCTGCATGAGTTAAATCTCCAGCTTCAGCTCCTTCCCTACTGGCCAAGACTTTGGATGCAAATTCCTCAGCTAGCTTGAAGTTTATAAGCCTGAATAAAATAACCCTATCAAATCTGAAATCTTGATCTGAACATCAGATTGATTTGCATTACATTATAGAATATAAAAAGGATGCTCATGCAGCAAGCAGTCTTACCACTTCTTGAACTAAGCTGATCAGTTCCATGAGACGTCGACGAAGTTTGGCTACCTCTTCATTCACCTTAGTGACATGCTGCTCATAAATTTCTGCCAAAGGTTTAAAGGTATGTCCACCGTGCTATTTAAATTAATAAGAGTAGTTTTAAAAGATTTTCCTGCATCTCATCTGCATTTACACCACCATCACCACCCCACTTTTTATAGTACTAGGAATAAAACACAGCCTGAACATGTGGGCAAGTACTCTACTCTTGAGCTACATCTCAGTCCATTTTTAGATTTTATTTTGAGACAGTCTTGCTAAGCTGCCTCTGACCTGTGATCTTCCTGTCAAAGCCTCCCAAGTAGCTGGGTTACACAGGTGCAACACTATATATTCCTTTCTCATACTGTGAATACTAATAAACTGGTAAATATTTTTAAATGTGTATTTTCCAGTTACCTTTATTTTATTGAAGCAGGCCAGTAGACACATAATCATTGGGCCCATGTACAAACTCCTTCAAGATCAGAAGTAACGGACGCTTACCACAATGTTCACATTTACCTAGATATCTTGGCTCATTAGAAAAAAAACAAAATCCTGGGTTGATATGTAACTAGTGGTAGAGCACTTGCTTGCCTAGCACAAAACACAAGACCCTGGGTTGTATCCCTAACAATGCAAAAAACAAACAACAACAAAAAAAAAACCAGAAGAAGAAAAGAAAAAAGCATTTTTTTCCCAGCTTTTTGAGACAGGGCCTCACTTCGTAGTTCAGATTGGCTTTAAACTCATTATGTAGCTCTGAGTGCTCTCGAAGTCAGGGTGATCCTCCGGCCTCAGCCTCCCAAGAACTGGGATTACAGGCATCTGCCACCATTACAGGCATCTGCCAGGCTTAAGAAAAAGAAAATAGTAATCATAGTCCAAATCATCTCTCAAAGCCTATTAGCCACTCTTTTCTTAGACAGCACTAGCTTTCTTTTATACCCTCAAATTTCACTGGACATGGTAGCACATGCCTATCATATCAGCACTTGGGAGGCTCTGGCAGGAAGATCACTGTTAGTTTGAGGCCAACCTGGGCTACACAGAGTTTAAGACCATCCTGAACTACAGAGTGAGACTCTATCTCAAAAATCAATCAGTCAATTAATCAATCCTCAAATTTCTTCCCACCAGGTCTTCACAAAAGTTATTCCCTCTTATTCAAAAGTAATCCCTACATTATCATTTTGAGTTCTCTATCCGTAAAATGTATCATACCAACCAAATGCAGAATTGTTATCTGTCTTGTTCATCACCAAATCCTCAATCTCTAGCACAAGTAAATAAATCAGAAAGATTTAGGAGGACTGGAGATGCAGCACAGTGGTGGTGTATTTGTCTAGCATGTACAAAGCCCTATGTTTGATTCTCAGTACTGTAAAAAAAAAAAAAAGACAGAGAAATAGAAAACAAGAGAAAAAGAAAGGGAAGGAAGAAGAGAGGGAAGGAAGGAAAGGAAAGGAATACTTGAGGCAAAAATCTGTGTATATAGTTGGCAAAAGCAATGAATTCATTATTCACACCACAAAAAACAATTACTGTAAAAGCTGGGACATGTTTGTAATTCCAGCATTCTGAGAGGCTGAGGCACGATGACTTCAAGTTGAAGCCCCACCTCAGCAATTTAGCAAATTTGTGAGAACCTGTCTCAAAAATAAAAAAAGGGTAGTGATGTAGTTTAATATAAAGGCCCTGGGTTCAATTCCAAGTACTGCAAAAAATAAAGAAAGAAAGAAATTACTGTAAAGATAGAAAGCTAATACAAAATAGCATGATATGCCCAATTGCATTCAGTTCAAAGAACAATGTTTTGGTGCTAAAAAAACTAATATTCAATTCAATTTTAGAAACATTATTTGTAACTCTTGCTGGGCAAGTAAGACTATTAGATTTCTATTACAAAAAAGTCCTTGGAGCTTCAGTAATATAGTTGGTTAATATGCAACACTTACCTATTACAAAAAAGTCCTACAATGGATAAAGGCTATTATCTAACAGAGAAAAAAAGCTGCAGCTTTTCACCACTTTTTTTTTTTTAAATAAGGTCTTGCTACGTTCCTTTGACTAGTCTCAAAACTCATGGACTCAAGTCTCTCATCTCAGCCTTGGGAGTAGCTGAGACTACAGACATTTTTCCACCACACCCTGAAAGATGTGAATTTTTAAATATTCACCTAAAAAGTATGGAAAAGAATGTTTCCATTGGCTTTTACAAACCTGTCTAAATACTAAACTGTAAAAACTGTTTCTTGGTCAGCACATTAGTATTCAAATTTGAACACAAAGCTCCTCAACTGAGCTCTACTCAACCAAGTGGGCCTGTCATTCTCTCTGTGAAATATACCAACTGGTACCCATAGAATGATCAAGTCTCATGATGAAGAGGCAATTCTAGTTGTCAACTCTCTTCTATTCCCACAATCACTTATTTTCCCCACTAAGACTATTGTACCAGGCTGCAGATGCAACTCAGAGTAGCATGGTCCAGCCCTTAAGGTCAATCACCAGCACCATGAAAAAGAAAAAAAATCTCATGCTTTTTCTCAATTTATATTTATAACTGTATTTACCACTAATAAATGATTTAATTAAATATTAAATACATACTAGAACATGACTATAAAATAACAAGCTGCTTGTAGGTAAACTAACCTGAATGCCTTTTTTTTTTTTTTTTTTTTTGGTACCGGGAATAGAACTCAGGACCTTACACTTGCCAGTAGGTGCTGTGCCACTGAGCTGTATCACCAGCCCACCTGAATGCTTTAGACTTAAGAAACACAGACTGCCTTTTTAAAATTTATTTATTTATTTATTTATTTATTTACTGATTGATGGACTGCCTTTTAAAAATCTGCTTTTGAAGCAAGGCTTAGTGGTACATTCCTGTAGTTCTAGCTACTTGGGAGGCTAACACAAAGAAGATGATAACTTGGGCACAAAGATTCAAGGCCAACCTGGGAAATAAAGTAAGAACCTATCTCAAAAACGAAAATAATCTGCTTTTGAAAGAGACTAGAAAGAAACTATCCAGAAGGGTTATACAATTTGAATATTTTCACTCAGATTGTTTTAAATTCTTGGTATGTATGTATGCATGCGTGTATTTATTAATTTACTTTTGGTACCAGGAATCAAACTCAGGACCTTGCACTTGCCAGGCAGGCACTGAGCCACTGAGCTATATCCCTGGCCCTCTTGCTCTGTTTTAAAGAAACCAAAGTCAGAAATTGTAGTCAATATATCAGATCAACTAAACTTTAAGGGCCGGGGATACAGCTCAGCAGCACAAGCTCTTGCCTGGCAGGCACAAGGTCCCGAGTTCAATTGCCGGTACAAAAAAACAAACAAACAAACAAACAACTAAACTTTAATCAAAGTCTTTGATCCTACAACCAAAAATTTAGAGATAAAAGTAGGGCTGAAGATGTAGCTTACCAGTAGAATATTTGTCTAGCATGCAAGAAGTCCTTGTGTTCATTACACAACATTAAAAAAAGAGGGAGCTAGACATGAATATACATTCTATAGGTAATAGGTTAAAATATTAATTTAAGAGGTTTGCATTTGCATCACACACCCTCAAAGAAGTTCTTCTGGAATAAGAAGTGTAATATCTTTAATAAGGCGCATATAAAGCAGATGCATTTTAATTTTCATTCTACAGAGTAATGATACTATTTTCTATCTAAATCAAACAAGTACTTAAAAACCTTCCAAACACTAACTAAACACAGTATGCTTAAATTTATTCGGCTCACCATTCCTCCCCAAAGTGCACACTGATGGCAGATACACTTCTTACAAGTCCAGCAAAACACGCTAAGCTTTTCATGATGATTTTCACACCTATATATTTTAAAAAGAAAATAGTTATAAATTAAGTAAATTAAAATGGAAACATAATTGTACCAATAAATTTCTAAGCTTAGGCGAACAGGTCTACTTTAAATGACTGTCTCCAAAAAACAACATGAAATATATTCTACAGCTTTGGAAAATTAAGCTAAAGAATTATATATTGACAAAATTTCTTAAAGTACTGTTTCATTACTAGAAACATACGCAAATTGCAGATTCCTTTCTAAATGATGTACAAATGTAGCACCACTGCCTAGCATCATTACAGATGATAAATACTAGCCTACTGTTCTATTTTGGGCTTAATACTCAGATTGACATGTTTACACATACATAAGCATGTGTACATGTACAAATACTTTTCCTACACATGACCAGTGATAATAATAGTCAACATGTAATTCATTGCATACTGTAATATCAGATATCATGGGAAGTAACTCAATTTTAAGTTTTCTCTTAAACCAGGTATCCATATGCAAAACAATGGAATTATACTCTATTATAGACTAAATTATGTCCTCCCAAAATTCATATATGGAAGCCTTAACCCCCATTATGACTTTATTTGGAGATTGGGCCCTTAAGGTAGTAACTGAGATCAAATAAAGTTATAAAAAGGAGACCCAAATCCAATAGGACTAGGGCCCTATAAGGTAAACACATATATAACAAAAACCATGTTAGGACAGAGCAAGAAGGTGACAAGTCAAAGAAAGAGGCCTCACTAGAAACCAACCCTGCCAGCACCTTGATCTTGGAATTTCAGCCTCCAGAAATTAGAAAAAAAATTTCTAATGGTTAAGCCACCAAGTCAGTGGTACTGTTAAGAGTTGCCCTAGCCAACTAATTCAGACCTTAACTTTATATCACATACAAAAATGAACTCAAAATGGATCAAAGAGCTACATGTGAAACCAAGAAAGAAAATTCTTAAAGAAAAACACGAAGGGGAAAAGCTTCATCACATAGGTTTGGCAGTGTTTTCTTGGATGTTATTCCAAAAGCTCAGATGACAACAATAAAATTATATCGGACATCAAAATTTAAAACGTGTGCACATTCAAAGTCAGTCAATAGAGTTAAAAAGCAACCTAAAAACAAGAAAAAACTGCAAATCATGTATCTGATAAGTGATCAACATCCAGAACATAAAAAGAACTTCTTCAACTCAACAAGTTAACACGTACACCATAGATTTAAAAATGGGCAAATAACATATGTACACATTTCTCCAAAGAAGATATATGAGTTCACATGGCCAACAAGTATATGAAAACGTTCATACTACTATTAGTTCCTAGGAAAATGCAAATCAAAACCTCAGATCCAGGGGCCGGGGATATAGTTCAGTGGCACACAGCCTGCTTGGCCAAGTGCGAGGTCCTGAGGTTGATTCCCAGTACCAAAACAAAACAAAACAAAACCTCACATCCATTAATGTCTGTGATGAAAACAAACAAAACAAAAACAAAGGACAAGCAAACCCTGAAAGTACTGGCTGGGATAGAGAAACTAGAACCCTAGGCACTGTTGGTAAAATTGTAAAATGCTATAGACACCATGGAAAATAGTATGGAGGGTCCTCAAAATGTTAAAATAGAAAACCAGGCATATTGGCCCATATGCCTGTAATCCAACTGCTCAACATGTGGAAGCAAGAGAATTCCAAATTCAAGACCATCTTGAGCAACTTAGCAACAACTTGTAAGAGTAGCTCTCAACACAGCCCAAGAAGAAATAAAAGGTCCTTCTACATAGTGATACCCACTATCCTTGAGGAAAAAAATACCTAATTGTTCACCTGTGGAGTATATTATTATAGTTTCTCTTATATGAGAAACTCAAAACTGTAATTTAGGAGCAAAATAAAAGATGATAGGAACAGGAAGGCAGGTTTTGTGGAGAGGGAAAAGTAATCTGAGGATGGAGGAAGAAAGGAAAGGAGGGAAGTAAAAAGGAATGAGATGAGATATGTGTATGTATCAACTCCCCACAATGAATGTATTTATTATGTATTGCAAACATATAATTAAAAAGGAAAGAAAAAAAATACAGAAAAAAATTAAATCATTATTTTTGTGTGACTTCCATAATGCTGTAGAAGTAACAGAAATCCTTAAAGCCGAGTTTAACTAGAATAGTAGAAACAACACTAGGCTTTATTTCTGGTTATGAATTGACATGGTAAGCCTCTTTCATTTCTATGGGTCTATTTCCTCAGCATAATAAAGGAACAGATACAAATTTTTCTAATGATCCCTGAAGTTTCAACCTCTTGCTTTAATATGCTATGCATTTAGAAATATTACTTTATTTAAAAAAAAATGAAACATTCAAAGCCAGATGTGTGGGGGCACACCCCTGTAATCCCAGCATTCTGGGAGGCTGAGGCAAGAGGATAACAAATTTAAGCCTGATCTGGCCAATTCAGGGACTTAGGGAGACCCTGGCTCAAAAAGTGAAAAAAATAACAACCCCCCTCATCAAAATAAAAAGTGAAAAAGGGCTGGGAGCCCTTTACAGTGTGAAGGCCTTTGCTTCAATTCACAGTACAATAGACATCATAAATAAACAATATTCCTGTACCTCTCCTAAGTTATTTTACCATTGCTGGACAGTGTTGCACTGCAATTAACCATGTAGTTTCTTCAGTTATAAAAGAGATGACTGTCATGTTCCTATACCTATCCTCATAACAACCCTCCAGATATGATCAAAACTGCACCATCATATGATGAAAGACCATGTGTTCATTATTGCTCAAAGACTCTATTCCCAAGACAGTCTCCAAAAATAACACCGTATTATTGTGTTCCCATTAAACAGGCAGGAATTGTGCCTCTATCTCTCCTAAATGTAGCACAGAACTTTATGTACATGCATAAATATGTATGTATATTCATGCCATAAATGTAAACATTTTAGTAATTTTAAATATTAAAGAACAGAATTATCAAATAAAAGAATGCTTTAAAGACTATTAAATTCCTCACTTATAAATAATTAAAAGAAGACTATTAAAGTGTCATTAGGGTTAGAAGTTTAGCTCAGTGGCAGAGCATACTTCACAGGCATGAGGCCCTAGGTTCAGTACCCAGCACTAAATGCGGGCATACACACACTCTTGTACACATGCACATTTATATCATATCATTAAAATGGCATGTGGTAAAACCTATATTGAACAAAGAAATTGAGGGCATACTTGTCCTTTTCATTTTCTTCATGTTTGGTGAGACTGCAGAGTTGAAGAGTATCAAGCTGTTGTGTTACTTCTTCTGCCCAACGACAATTTACTAGCTCTCGTAGCTGGAGTGGAGCACTAGAAAGAAAATCCACACACATATTCTAACTCAGGATTCTGAGATTAATTTTCTAAAATAAACACATTCCTCCAAGCAGAGCTCATAATCATATTCATATCATAATACCACTAAAATAATGAGGGGCCAGGAACATAGCTCAGTGGCACAGCACAGGTCTGGCAAGCGCAAAGTCTGCTGATTCCTAGCACCAAAAAAAATAAGTAAGTAAGTAATAAAAAATAAAATAACAAAAACACAATGAAACATAAGCTTTGAACTTTACTTTTACCACATTAATACATCATTTACTGAAAGGAAAAACCAACTGAACAACAAAAAATACTGATAATTCAGAATACAGACTTAACTGCCAAAAAGATGTCTATGGGGCTAGAAATACAGTTCAGTGGTAGAGCGCATGCTTTAATGTGCCCAAGAAGTGGGTTTGGTCTCCAGAACTACAAAAAAAAAAAAAAGGGGTCAGGGGCTGGGGATTTAGCTCAGCAGCACAGCACCTGCCTGGGAAGCGCAAGGTTGTGAGTTCGATTCCCAGTACCGGAGAAAAACCAAAAACAAAAAACAAAAAAGAAAAGAAAATGATAGCTACTACCTACATGTGACCATTTTAATTAATTTTTTTTAACTGAAATGTCAGGCCATGCCTGGTGGCGGACACCTATAATTCAAGCGCTCAGGAAGCTGAGGCTGGAGGATCACTGCAGAGTTCAAGGCCAGTCTGGGCTACAAAATAAGTTCAAGGCCAGCCTGAACTACACAGTGAAACTTTGTCTCAATAAGACAAAAAAAAAAAAAAAAAAAATCCCTGAAATTTCATCACCCAGTCACACTAGGCATTTCAAGTGCTCAATCACCATATGTAGTTAGTGGCTAACATACTGGACAGTGTAGAAATATAATACTACTGGTCTTCTCACAAGCTAAGAAAAGTAAACAATACAGAGTAAAAAATGGGCAGAAAATGGACGGTACTCTGGCATCAAAGGTAGAAACAACCTAAATATCTCAGAATGTGGGCATAAATAAATCAAGGTATAATTATAGTGGATAATTCAAACTTTAAAAAAAATGACATGCATCCATACCATTAGGGAAAGATATCTACCACTTTTTAAAAATTATGAGGGCCAAAGGTATAGCTCAGCAGCACAAAAGCCTGGCAAGCCTAAGGTCCTGAGTTTGATTCCCAGTACCAAAAAAAACATTATGGCCAGGTGTGGTGGCACACACCTGTAATCCTATCACTCTAGGAGGCTGAGGCAAGTCTAAGCCCAACCTGGACATCTTCGTGAGATCCTACCATGAAAACAAAGCATACACACACATACACAGTGAATGGCTGGGGTATAACTCAGTATGGAGGCCCTGGATTTAGTACCAGTATAGCAAACAAACAAACTGAAACAATAAAACATATACAAACACACACACACACACACACACACACACACACACACACATAACAAGTAAGGAATAGTGGCACATGCCTATAATTCTAGCTACTTGGGAGGCTGAGGGAGGAGTATCAAAAATTTAAGCCCAGCGTGGACTACCTACTAACTTAGAGAGACCCTGTGTCAAACTAAAATCTAAAAAAAGAACTGAGGATATAGCTCAATATAAAGGCCTTCAATGTCTAGCCCCGCCCCACACCCTTCTATAAGAAGTTATACAATGATTTTCTAAGGCAAGGGTAGAACATACCAAACAATGTAATGCATCCTACATAAACCTATGTCAGATAAATTAGTCTCTCCATTTTTTTTCTAGACATACTGCTTATGTTCTATTCAACAGTATTCATAAGAAAAGTCTAGCAAATTGAAGGAAAAAATGCCCTTAGGAATCTGAGGGTACACTCTGACCCCACAGCCTTAACATTTTCCAAGTTCACAAACGTAGCAGAACACTTACCGGCAGTGAGGACACTGAGCTCTCTGCTCTGTCAGCCAACGCTATGAAGGTAAAAAAATTTGGCTTTTATTGTGTAAACTCCATTAATTTGTATATATTCAGTGTTTACAAAGCAAATTTAACAAGTTAAATTCTCTAATGCCTAAATTAATTTTAGAGATGCTTATAGAAATAACAGGCAATCTACTGTCTCATTATCCTAACAGGAGCAAACTTTCAAAATGACAGAACTTATCCTAAAATAGTTTAAAAAGGCAAAAGGTTTATACAATAGGAAAAGAAACCAGAGTATCCTAAAATAGTTAAGAGGCTACTGTCCCACTGGAAAGGAAGTGATTCCAGGACTATCAGGGTTTCATAAGAAACATACAATCTTCACAAAAATAATGATCCTGTCACTCCATTCTCAAAATTAAGCCACAGCAATGATTTTCTTCTATCTAAGCTACTATAAAAGCCCTGAGAAAGTTTAAGATACTACTAAAGTTTTTTGAAAAGTAAACTAATTCTGAGGTATACATATTACAGGCATATAAAATTAGACATAAAGTATCAATAGGTAAAACACACACACAAAAAAACCCAAAAAATAGGTAAAACAACAACTTTTCATAAGTCTTAAGATTTTATAGTTTGGTAATTTAAACACCTACTTACTTTGGTTTCCTTACAGAAGACAGTAATGTCTCTATTAAACCTCAAATTTTACTAATTAACCATTTAAATTATTATTGGAGGGGCTAGGGATTTAGCTCAGCGGCACAGTGCCTGCCTGGCAAGCGCAAGATCATGAATTTGATTCCCGGTACCAGAAAAAGACCAAAAAAAGAAAAATTATTACTGGATTAGGAACAATTTCACACCATATACCAAAGATACCAAAATATTCTGAATACTTGTCTGAAGACAACAGGTTAGTAGCTAAAAATTTTGTTTTGTCTAGCAAATAGGTACTGAGGTGAGTAACAAATCCTGCATCAATGTATTCCAAATATCTATAATTTCTGTTCAGCCCTTTCAACTTTTTTAAAAGAGCATGAACCTTCACATTAAATCAAATAATTCAGTAATAAATTTCTCAAGGAAACCTTAAAGGACAATAAAGGTTTACAGATGAGGTGGGCATGGTGGAGCACTCCTATAATCCAAGGTACTCAGAAAGCCAAGGCAGAAAGACCCCAAGTTTGAGGTCAGTATAAGCAACTTAGTGAGAGCCTATCTCAAAATAAAAATTAAAAAGTAAAAAAGGCTGAGGATACCCTCTCAGGGGTACATTTGTAGTACAATGCCCTGGGTTCAATACCCAGCACTAGAGCAGAAAAAAGACTTAACAAGAAACAAACTACTTCAGAACAAAGAAAGCTGGAAGAAGGAAAAAAAAGCAAATAGAAAAAAAGGACCTCTCTATTCTTAATAAATCTTAACAATGTTTCTTTGGTCCCTCAGAAAAAATGAGATTTGGGTCAGGTTTCTTCCACAAAAACCACACTCTAACCATGTTACTCCTATGCTAAAGTCCCATCTTTCCCATACTTCTCTTCAGGCTATACCTCTTTAGTCTCACCCTACAACCCAGCAAGGTTAAATGCTTTTAAATATGCTTCCTCTCCTCACAGAATATTCATCCACAACTTCACCTGAAATACTCCCATTCACTTAACTTCCAGTTTATGTCACTTCCTCCTAAAAACTGTTCCTCACACTCCGCAGACCATCTTAAACACTACTGCCATGCTCTCCCACAGCAACCCATACTTTCTCCTTTGTTGTATTTTGTAATACTCTAATGAAGTATGCATTGGTCTTATAAATGTTGCTAGATTATAATCTCATTAAAGGTTGGGACCATGACTGCGAGTGAGCAGATCGTATTTTAAAATATGGTCAAAACAGGTCAAATGCTACAATATATATCGTTCACATCATACTTGTTTACATAATCCGTTCCATTTCCTGTCCCGTAGGAATATTTTTATATACATAAAACTTGCCTGCCTATTCCAGGCTAGAGTTAAACTTTCCCTTTATGATACTTTTACCTTGTATTCCATAATCTAATTTAAACATAAAATAAATATGGCAATTTTAATACTAAAAAAAGCAATGTTTCTTCCTAACCCAAAGAAAAGGCAAGAGGGCAAGGGATATAGCTCAGTGGCACAGTGCCTGCCTGGCAAGTGCAAGGTACTGAGTTCAATTCCCAGTACCAAAAAAAAAAGAAAGAAAGAAAAGGGCAAGAACCAGTGGTTACATATTGATGCACTGGTAATATTACACAAAGACAATATATGGATGGTAAATAAGCCCTTGAAAGAATCCTTATTCATCAGAGAAATGTTAATTTAAAACTAATGACTGGCCAGGCATGGTGGTGTATGCCTGTAATCTCAGTACTCCGGAGGCTGCAGCAAGAGAGTTACCTTGAATTTGAGCCCAGCCTGGGCTACATAGCAAGTTTAAGGCCAGCCTGAATTACAGAGCAAGACTCTCAAAAACACTCAAAAGAATGAATGAATGAAGCCAGGCATGGTGGCACAAGCCTGTAATCCTAGCACTCAGGAGGCTGAGGCAGGAGGATTGTTTCAAGTTTGAGACTAGCCTGGGCTACAAAGTGAGCTCAAAGCCAGCCTGAACTGCATAGCGAGACTGTGTTTCAAAAAGACAAAAAAAAAAAAAAAAAAAAAGAAAGAAAGAAAGAATGAATGAATGAATGAATTAATTAATTAATTAATTAAATGACCTATAACCCCAGCAACCTGGGAGGCTGAGGTATGAGGATCACCAGCCTGGGCAACTTAGATCCTGCATCAAAATGAAAAATAAAAAGGGTCAGGGGTATACCCCAGTAGTAGAGTGCTTCCTACTGTGCACATGTCCCTGGCTATGATTTCTAGTACCTCAAAAGAGCATCAAAAAGGAAAAACACAATGAGATAATACTACATACCTATAAGAATGGCTAAAATTTTAGGAACTGAACATATCCAGTAGTGGCATTAATTTGGAAGAAATAAACTCGCATGCCCTGCTGCAAAAGATGTAAATTATTACAACTATTTTAGAGAAGTTTGGCAATTTCTGAAAAAATTAAACATATTCACATGACCTAACCATTCCATTTCTAATTAAGAAAATACAATAAAGCTGGGTGTGGTGGTGTACACTTGTAATCCCAGCATTTTCAAGGCTGAGGTAGAAGGATCACTGGGAGTTCAAGGCCAGCCTGGCCTACATAGTGAGTTCAGGACTAGCCTGAACTATAAAGAGATCCTGTCTCAAAACAAACGAACAAACAAATACTAAAGCTTCAGTCTATTCAAAGACTTGTATATAGCTGTTCATAGCAGTTTATTATATAATAGTAAAAAAACTGAAAACATCTTTATATGTCCATCAGTATGTAAATGGAGAGACAAACTGCAGCACGTGTATACAATGGACTACTACCTAGCTATAAAAAGGTATACTACTGACATACACAATGTAGATGAGTCTCAAAATAATACTGCTAACTGAAAAATGCCAAATGCATTTCAATACATATTGTATGATTTCATTTGTGTAAAATTTCAGAAAATGCAAACTTATCTATAGGACAGAAAGCAAAACACCTTCTTCTCTGAGGACAAGTACAGTACGAGGGCACATGGAAACTTTTGGTGATGACATATATGTTCACTATCCTGACTGTAGTGATAGCTTCACAAGTATAAACTTACTAAAACTTACCAAACTGGAAAAAAAAAAAAACCTTTTATCAAACTGTATAATTTAAATGTCTATTTATTATGTCAATTATATTTAATGAAAAATGACTGGCAGAATGAAAACAAAACAAAGCCAATAATCACAGGCAAACATAAAGTGCTGCCAAGGCTGAAAATCAAGGGGTCAAATAAAACGAAAAAAAAAGAACTACAGAAAGATAGCATCAAAAAATGGCAGAAAATACAAGTAAGAATAGGTACTGAAAAATAATCAAATATAATTTGATAAATGAGAGACTAGTCTGAAAATACAGTGAATGTTCCCACACAAAAAAAGACATGAGTAAAGTGCTCGCCTTAGTATAGTCCTGGTCTGCAAGCCTGGACTTCTGTTGAATTCAATGACACAAGTATCTAGACCATCTGAGTCAAATTTCCATAGTCAAATGAAAAGAACTGTCATGGGAGAAAGGGAACGTATTCAAATGAACCCTGGTAAAATTTGGTGAGGGGCAGTATCCAGTTCCTTAAGTACTTTGCTTCTGTAATCACCTACAGTTATCCAGTATCATTATTCTTTGTGTGACTGTTAAAATCTCAGCAAGATAAAAATTAAACAAAGCAAAAACAATGCTGACTTCCAACATGCCTCTCTGACTACTATCTCTATTTCTCACTTTTAGAATAATAATTTTGTAAAAAAAATTTTTTTTAATATTTCCTGTCATTTTCTCTTCTTTCTCTCATTAGGTTTTCATCCCCACTGTTAAGGTTTGGATATAGAATGTCTCGAAAAAGCCTAATGGTACACTATAGCTGATGTGTAACATGTTAGGAAGTGGGGCCTGGTTGGAGGCAGGTCACTAGGGACCTGACCTAGAAAAGTATATTGTTATCTCCAACCTCTCTTTTCTCTGCTTTCTGACTGCCATGGGTTGAACAGCTTTACTCTGCCCTTCCACTGCGCTGTTTCTGCCTTGGAGCAAATTGACTTTGGAGTGAACTCCTTGAAACTGTAAGCCAAATAAGACTCTCTTCCTTTAAATTGTGGGTATTGACTATTTTGTCCCAGCAACCAGCAAGTGGCTAAGATACCAACCATTCCACTGGAATTACTCACAAAATCACCAGAGCTTTACATAGTCTCAAATCCAAAGCTCAATTCCCAGGCCAGAAACCATGATAAAGCCAACTAGCCTCTCTTGAAAACACAGTTTTACCTGACTTCTGGAATGCCTCACCCTGCTAGATTTCTACCTATCTCAATTATTACACCTTCTTGGTCTCTTCCTTTGCTAACCTCATCCTGTTCCTACTTGTCCTGACCTCTAAATGCTGACAGTATCTCAGAGATCATACCTAGCATCTTTCCATCTAACTCCTTGGTTTTAAATACCATGTAAAGGATAGTAACATTGATCTCACTGTATCTCCCCCAACTTCAGACTCGTATTTCCAACTCCAATTAGATGTATAAGAAACAACTCAAGACTAATATGCTGAAAAACAAAACTTTTACAGTTAGGATGCCATTCTGCACCGCAAGCCAGGGTAGCAGCACAGGCACACCATCACCCTCACGCTTTCCTTGCAGCCAAGCAGGACAGAACCCTATGAGGGGATTCCATGGCGAGTCCAAGGAAAGATAACTACAAAATGAAAAGCTAAAAGCCCTAACTCCTCAAGAGATGTGTAGAAGGAGAGAAGAAGGAATACAGCTTCTAAAACAAAAAAGGGAAACCCAGAAATGACTCTTATGCTAGAAAATCCTATCCAAGATCCTGGTATCAGTTGCACTGTACCCACTTCAGAGGAAGACGTTATTTCAAAAGAGATGGTTCGAAGCCAGGTGTGGTGGCGCATGCTTGTAATCTCAGCACTTGGGAGTCTGAGGCAGGAGGATTGTTGTAAGTTCAAGACCAGCACAGGCTACAAAGTGAGCTCAAGGCCAAACTACACTGCATTGTGAAACCCTGTCTCAAAAAGACCAAAACAAACGAAAGATATGGTTCAGTTGATTTTTTCTAATAATGCTGAACTATAGCTAACAGCAATACAGAAATTTAGAAGGATCTTTTGTAAAGGCAAGAATTATTTTTAGTATGCTTATTTAATATTATAGGATTCTGTAGTAGAGCTTCATTTTATTAAATTTTTTAAAAATTTTAATATACCTGCTTCCTACTATGTCTTTGCCAGACATAGTAAGGCTTAGTTTCTTTTTTTAAATACATATAAAATAACATCTATTTTTAAAGACATTATCTTTGTGGGCGTGCTACACTCCCTAGCATTTGGGAGGTGGAGCCCAGAGGATCGATCACTGTGAGGTCAAGACCACTGTGGCGGATTGGCAACTGGTAGTCAATTTGAAACACCCAGCTGAACTGAATCAGGTTGGTGCTGGGTGTGGGAGGCCCACCTGAGGACTGTTACCAGCAGCAGAAGAGGCAAAACTGGAGAAGAAATTGAGGCTGTTGGAAGCTGTTAAGAAGCTGCTGGGTGCTGTTAGAAGCTGTAAGGAGCTGTAAGGAGCTGTTGGTTCTCTGGGAAGAACATGTCATGCTGGCTTTCCTGATGAACTCAGCTGTTCTTATCATCCAAGGAGCTTGGGACCTTGTTATCGCTGAGAATGGCTTTAGTTCACTTTGGGGGAGCTCTGCTTCTCACTTTGAGCATTACTTCCTGGCTCCAGAGGGGAAGATGGTGCACTACTTAGTCTCCTGGAGAAGCTTGTCACACTGGCTTTCTTGATGGGAACTGGGCTGTCCTGATCATCGGAGGAACTCAGGACCTCACTGTTGCTGAGGATGGCTGTGGTACTTTTCAAGGGAGTTCTGGTTCTTACTTTGAGCGTTGCTTCCTGGCTCCAGTGTAGATCCCTCAGCATGCTAGCACAGATCCTTCATCCTGTTGCCATAGACTTTCCAGATTCCACCACTGACCTTTGGGCCTTCCTACCACAGATCCATGAAAGAGCCTGCATGAGATGTTGTCATGGGCTCTCGGCCTCCAGCTGGACTCATGCGAAGCATTGTTATGGGCTCTAGGTCTTCAGCTGAACTCATACACAACTTTACCGTGGGATCCAGCCCCTCAGCTGGATTCTTTGGTATTTAATGTGTGGACAGATTTCCTGCACTCCCTTGTACATGATTCGTTGGGTGACTATTATAAATAATTTTATAAAACATGTGTCCTGTATATTGCTTCCCTTGCAAAAAACTCCAAACCAAACACAACCACCTTGAGCTACATACTGAGTTCAAGACTAGCCTGAATTATATAGTGAGACCCTGTCCTCAAAAATTTTAAAAAAAAAAACAAAGATACTATCAAAGTATAACATTCATTGTAGAAAAATTGCAAATTATAGAAGAATTTATAGAAGCAAACACTAAAATGATTAATCTTGGTGCCAAGAAACAAGGTTATAAATTCTTGTTAAAGTATTTTTTAGACATATTATTTTTAAATAGTCATGTAACACAATATGAATTTAAAATAGTAATCATTGAGGCCTTAATTTTTTTCCAGTTTCTGAGTATTTTAACCATTTCTACAAAAATCACTGTATTGCTAGGCATGGTGGCACATTCCTGTAATCCCAGCACTTAGGAGGCCAAAGCAGAAGGATGGATTGCTGTGAGTTCGAGGCCAGCCTGGGCTACAAAGTGAGTTCAAGGCCGGCCTGAACTGCATAGTGAAAGCTTGTCTCAAAAGACTCCCCCTAAAATATAAAACTTCCTAATGTTCACATGAGAAGGGGAACAAGGATGGGGGAAGGGAGAAAGGAAAAAACAAAAGAAAAAATAGAAGGAAAAAACGGAAACAAAGCTTTTGTAAATAGAGGGGAAGGAGATGATAGGGAGGGGAATAGGCAAAAAAGAAGCAAGATATATCATGTACATGTACAAACTCCCTACGATGAATGTTATGTATATCTAAAATGTACCTATTGAATAAAAAGTTTTAAAAAATCTAAAACTTTCTTAATTAAAGTGAAACAGTGGGTCAAAGACAATAAACTAAATTTATACTCTCAAAAAACAAAACAAAACAAAACTTTTACATCTACAGTATTAGTTTGTTTGTCCTCAAGTTTATTCTACCTTAGAACAATACACTGCAGGCCAGCCTGGGCTACACACGGTTAAGTTCATGGTCAGCCAAGACTATACAGCAGTATCTCAAAAAATAAACAATACAAATAACAAATAAACAAAGTAAAAAACCATTCATTCATCCAGAAGTTATAAAAAACTTTCCTCCTGTCCTGTCTATAGGAGAATTCTATCAGTTCCCTTCAAATCATATTATTTCTCACCACCTCTTCTATTACTATTCTAATCTAAACCACCACTTATCTTTCACTAAAAGCACATCTGCCCTTTACTCCTTACTTCCTCTTCTACCTGCCTATAGTCCACTTTTCACAAAGTACCCAGTGACATCTCTAAAACATGCATATCACTCAAAAGCTTTCAACGGCTACCATCAGGATATGAGGGCAATCTAGCTGTGACATGCCCCCCCCACTGATCACCAGCGTTGATTTGACTGACCTGCTGGCTAGGCAGATCCTCCCTCATAGCTCCATGTGCATCTCTCTGGAAGCTGTGTGCTTGGTCAAAGCGGACAGCTTTCCAAGATAAGAGTACCATTCTTCTGTCAAGAGAACATGAGTAGCTTTGCTCCCCTGCCAGAACCTCCAAACAAGTTCTCAAGTCAATGGCTACCATCTAAGTCCTCTGTAATCCTATTCAGTTCTTCCTTCGTAGCACTTACTCATATCTAACAGGTATCGCTTTGTGACTGCAAGAATTTTTTTTTTTTTTGGTGGTGGTGGTGGTGGTGGTAGTGGTACTGGGAATTGAACCCATTAGCCTTTCCACTGAGTTACATCTCCAACCTTTTTTATTTATTTATTTTTTGGATACCAGGAATCGAACTCAGGACCTTGTGCTTGCCAGGCAGGTGTTTGTGTCATTGAGCTATATCCCCGGACCCCTTTTTATCCTTTGACACAAGATCTAAGTTTCTGGGACTAGGGATTTAGCTCAGCAGCACAGCACCTGACTGGCAAGTGAGAGGTCGTGAGTTCGATTCCCAGTACCGGAAAAAAAAAACAAAAACAAACAAAAAAGATCTACGTTTCCTAGGCTAGCCTCCAACTTGTAATTCTTCTGCCTAGCCACCCAAGTAGCTGGGATCACAAGCATGTGCCACCATGCTTAGCAGCAAGAAAATTACTTCAGTGTTACATATATCACTGTCAACAAGAGGATATGGTATTTTTCTTATTTAGGCAAGTGTAAAGAAATAAAATGTAACATGAAAATCTCATTAACTGGCTTTGATTTTCATAATAAAGATTATCTCAAGAGTAATGTGAGCAGGGCAGTTTTCAACTGCCTTCTCTGCAGATGTGCTGCTGGACTCCCACATTACAAGAACTTATTACAACCAAAGTAAGATTTTGTTTTACATCTTAGGCTTCCCCATAACTTTGAGGAGTTCACCAATACACAAACTTTAAAGATACTAGATTGTATTCATTTCTGTAGTCTCTTGTAACTATACAAGATTGTATTCTTTGCCTTTAAACTCATTACCCACTTTTTCACCCTCTTAACCATTAAGCATGTGTAAATTCTTCCTCTTTTGAGACCAGTACTTTCTTAGTGCCTCTTCATAAGCTACACATTTTTCAATACAAACACTCAAGTCCATTCCTCTCATCAGACTTAAACTCTGCAAGGAAGGTGTTTTGTCATTTATCTTAGCGTTCCTCAACCTCAAGCATAAAGCAAGCAAACACTAGCATTTTCAAGTATTTGTTAAATGAATTCGTTAGCCAGGCAGCGCACACCTGTAATCCCAGCACTAGGGAGGCTGAGACAGGAGGATCACTGCAAGTTCAAGGCGAAACCCTGTCTCAAAAACAAAGATGTATTTGTTAAATGTGTAGTACGTTTAATAATGGAAGTATATTAAAATTACAGTGAATTTTGTTTCCAGAAGCATCTCAGTATCTTTATACATTTCACATCAATGATCATATACTATTTCTTCATCTTCAAAGCACTAAGCACTACAAACTAGTAGGCTAATTAAGGAACCTTTATCTAAGAGACATGTTTAAGAAGGGAATAAAATGTAAAGTAAGAAAAAGGTAAGTAAAATGGTTAATCCTTACAATACATCATATATAAACTAAATACAAGTTAAAAGAGCTAAAACTTACCCTAATACAGCTGAAACAACAAAGCTTGGAGCAATGTGGACACAAGCGAGCATCCCGCAATTTCTCCATGCAAATGAAACATCGAAAAACCTCCGCAATGCTCTGAAAATAATAAAAGCAAAGGTCCCAGGTTAGATTACTGGAGCTAGAATAAAAAGCATTACAAAAATAATGCACTTGAGCTGGGCATGGTGGTACATGCCTGTAATCTTAGCACTCGGGAGGCTGAGGCAGGAGGATCACCATGAATTCGAGGCCATCCTGGGCTACATACTAAATTCAAGGCCAGCCTGCACCACAAACCCAGACCCAGTCTCAAAACACAACAAAAAAATTCACTCAACAATTACATTTACTTTGGGCTAAAATCTTGGTTTTTACCATATTCCATATCAGAAAGTGGTCAAGGTCTCAAATATCTCCGAACATCTGGACAATGTGCTTCTTTTTTTTCTACGTTTGACAAGGGATTCTATCCTAAGAAAAAGACAGACTTCAAACACAAATTTTTCACTGAGGCATTAATAATGGCAAGAATCTGGGAACAGCCCAGATGTCCCAATATTAATAATGTTATAGCAGTTATATACATTATGTCATAGTCACTAAAAATATTTAATGATAGACAAATGTTTATGATGTACAACAGTAAAAAAAAGACTATGACTGAATGTACAATATGAATTTTTTCCCCTGCAACTTCTCCAGAGATAAAGTGATTTTATAACTAAGAAGAGAAAAAAGGTTGTAAAAATATATGTATCCCAATGGCTGTGTATTCTGGCCCTGAGAGAAACTGATTCAGAATCCAGAAATCTGAACTTCTGTCCTAATGTTGCAACCAGCTAGTTATTTCTTTGAAAAATTCCAGGACTAGTGTGATGGCACCCGCCTGTAATCCCAGCACTAGGGAGGCTGAGGCAGGAAAACCGGAGAGAGTTCAAAGCCAGCCTGAGCTACCGAGTTCACGGATAGACTGAATTATGCAGTGAGATCCTGTCTCAAGGACAAAACACAACAAAAAACAAGAAAAATTTTGGAGGCCATTCTGAGGTCTCAGGAAAAAGAAAACACAGTAAAGAATCTATTATTTTGCAAGCCTCAGTGAATCCGTTTATGAAGTGACAAGAAAACGTAAAATTAAATGTAGTTATTGCCTATTTTAATTTTTTAAGGCATTATTTTTACTCCACTCCAGAAGACTTAAACGGTACTAAAAACCAAGTTAAGTTTACAACACCTATGTAATACTTCCACAAGGAAATTAATGAGAAAATTATGTACTCATGAATCGAATCAGGACTGCAGGGGTCACAGCCTGTGAGGTGCAGACTCCTAACTGGCTGCGGAGTGAACAATAAAGACCACTGGGTGAACTAGTTTCAAGTGGGGTGTTCAGGAACACGGTTACCCCCTTACCAAGAAGGATTTAGTATTTTAAAAGTTCGAAGTTGACAGTCACCATATTATCACGTTCAATAAACCATCTTTTTTGATGTTTCCTGGCTTTGTGGAAATATTCCAACCACGCGAAATCAGCTTACAAATTATATAAAAATAGTTCTAGAAACTACGCCCAAATAAGACTATACAAATACAAAAACCATATATATACACACACAATGTACTATACACACACAAGTGTGTGTGTGTGTGTGTGTGTGTGTGCGCGCGCGCGCGTATCCTCATTCAATCTAGGAAGGGTAGAAGCCTGCAAAACGCACGGTGGAGAAGGAAAGCTAATCATCCTTCGGAGCCTGGCGTGGACCCGCTCGCAAGCGCTCGCAAGCGGCGGCGAGCAGAGAACGCGTGCACCCCGTGAATCCGCACTTCTGCTCCGCGAGGGCGTGGCCTGCTGCCACCGGGCGACGCGGAGGACCGTGCAGGTGCCCAGGCGGCCCTGAAGGCACCAGGCTGTGCCGCACCAGACCGCGGAATCACCCGCACGGTCGCACAGCCAGCCCCCGGGCGACCCGCCTCGCCGTGCCAACCAGGTGCAGGGGCCCTCGCGCGGAGAGGGGGCGCCGGGCGCCCGCAGAGGACACGCTCCCCGGCGGAGCGCCCGCCACCCCCCGTGTTGCCCCTCACCTCCACACTCTGTTCATCCATTGCCGCCGGCTCTCGGCAGGGCCCTCGGCGACCCGCGGAGTCCGTGGTCTCTCCGGTTAGGCGCCGGCCCGAGGTCGCCAGGTCGAATTGCCAAGAACAACCGGCACCCACGTCAGGGGGCTTCGACTGCCCCACGAGCGCGCCCCATCGCCTCAGGTTGTGCCAGCTACCCCCATTTCGCCATTTTATCACTGCGCCCGCCGTGGGGCGCTGAGGGAGGGCGAGCAGCGGTCGCAGCTCCTTCCTCCCGCCTCAGCCGCCGGCCAGCGACGCGAGGAAGCCTCGGCCCACGTGACGCGGGCGCGCGCGTATGGAACCGCCGCGGGAGCCGGGAGGCGCGGGTCGCAATGAAGGAGGCACCTCAGACGACTCGCGAATACCAACGGTAACCAGGGCAGCCTGAGGCGCGGCAGCCCGAGAGGCCCCGACGCGCCTGCGCGCAAGGGGGGCGGGGCAGGGAGGACAGGCGGGCGATTAGTTCCCGCGGTGCGGGAGTACACACGAGACTTGGCGAATCGTTGCCTCAGGGTTGCGTGGCTTTGGCCGCGAGTGGGCGTGGGCTACTGGAGGGCGGTGCTTCCCGTGCCACGCCCCCAGCCAAGGGGCGATTCTCCAGCGGGTCTTAAAGAAAAAGCCAGACTGGAGTCATCTCGCTATCTTGTTAAAAAACGTAGCTTCAAGTCACACCCCGAGGAGTTCAGATTCGGAGATTCAAGGGAAGGGCCCAGGAAAAGCGCACCATCAGCAGCTACTCCCAGCGCTCCACTGCTGGTGACTCTGAGAAGTGCTGATGTAGAGGATTTGTTGTTAATGGTTTTCCAGGATCAAACCTCGGGACTTGCGCGTGCTCGGCAAGCACTTACCATGAGCTACATTCTCAGTCCTTTCTTTCTTGGTATCGGAAATCGAACTCAGGACCTTGCACTTACCAGACAGGCGCTGTACCACTGACCTATATATATCCCTGGCCCTCCGCTCTTAAGATGGTCTCACTGAATGCCCAAATTGGCCTTCAAATTGAGATTTTACCAGCTCGTCTTTTTAAATAGCTGGAATTAACAGACATGTGTTCCACACCTGACCGCATTCTAAGATTTTAAAATTTTTCTCCTGCTACCAAAGAAACGAGTTGAAAAGCTCCATATTGTGAAGTCTGGAGACTTGTAAGTGTTTCTCATTTTACTGGTGGGGAAGACTGGACCACAGATTAAAGTCTTCAGAACCACACCACACCCTTTGTTTCTGGATGCTCTGGGACTTACGAAGGACAAAAGGATATCAACCGTGTTGAGTTTTCCTGTAACCCAGATCTTTACAATTTCCTGCAAGAAGCAATGTGTGCACACTGCAGAAGTTGAGGGTAACACAAAAGGCCATACATAGAATTCCTTTTTTTTTTTCTTGACACAGGGTCTCACTATGCAGGTCAGGCTGGCCTTGAGCTCACTTTGCAGCCCAGGCTGGTCTCGAACTTGCAACGATCCTCCTGCCTCAGCCTCCCAACTGCTGGGATTATACGCATGCACCACCCCCCGCCCCCTACATAAAATTTTTAATTTAAACCTAATTTATCCTTTCCAGTTTACTGGACATAGCTATCTATTCTTATTCTAATGGAGCGTACACATTTAGGGAATTAAATTCTTGGATATCAGGCATTTGGAACTTGTAAGTAGTAGGCAGCAACTATGTGTATTTTCAGTTACCTTAAGCCCCAAACAAGGACATAAATTTAGATTAATCTGAGACTGAAAATGCTTTCACTAAAAATTATTTAAGATTTTGTAAATACATGAAGGTTGCACAACACGATTTGTACTAAAATTTCCTCAGTTATACACTCTAATATTACTATTGTTGTGGGAATTTTACTTTAAAAAATTATCCGTAGCCTGACATGGTGGTGCACACCTATAATCCCAGCACTTGGGAGGCTGAGGCAGGAGGGTCACCACAAATTCGAGGCCAGCCTGGGCTACACAGTGAGTTCAAGGCCAGCCTGAACTACATAGTGAGAGCTTGTCTCAAAACAACCAAACAATAAAAAATAAAAATTATTCGTGGAACACAGTACCTCAGGCTAATATAACTGTGATACCACGGCTACTGAATGACTAACAAACAGTGTATTCAGTGTGGATAAACTGGACAAAAGGATGGAGCAAGATGGCATGAGATTTATGCTATTCATGTGAAATGTAAAACTTAGGAATTGTTTATTTCAGGAATTTGCCACGTAATATTTTTGGATCACGGTTGGCCACAGGTCTCTGAAACCATGAAAAGCAGAACTGCATATAAGAAGGGACAAAATTTATATCTCAGGTGGGACTCCAGAGGCCAATGTTAACAACAAAACTACAATACCTGCTCCTCCTCTCCCCAACTAAGCATAATTTTAACATTTCCCACATAAACAGTAAAAATGTATTGGCAACTTGAACTATTATATAGATACACCATGATCTACTTTCCTACTCATCTATTAGATGTGTATATGTACTGTTATTAAAAATAATCCTGTAATTAACTTTTTTTAAGTACTGGCAATTTAGCCCAGGGCCTTTCCTATACTAAGCCCATGCTCTACCTCTCGGCTACACCCCCATCCCCAAAACCTCTTTTAGTTGTTTCTACTTTGGACAATTGCCTTATTGCCAATAGTTATTTTAAAATAAATAGGCATGATGGTACACATCCATAATCCCAGTATCCTGGAGGCCGAGGCAGGAGGACTTCCACAAGTTTGAGGCCAGCCTGGGCTACGTAGTGAGTTCAAGGGCAGTGTGAACTATATATGAAGAACCAGTCTCAAAAAAAAGAGAAAAAAAGAAAAATAGAAGTTCTCAGAGACTTAAAAATATAAGTAAATTAAAAGATAGCAGATAAATGCTCTGTGACTTGTTTCTGAACTTTCATACACTTTTTTTTAAGACTACCTCACATGATTTGGCTTTCATAGAGAACGAACAATTGTAAATATAGACTGAATC